AATCAAATTGCTTATCTCTGCTTACCCTAAGCATAAAATTCTCATCTTCGTGACCTCTAGAGGGTCCACAACATTCATATACCTTATTTTTATGCTATTTGAGTACGCGGGGCGGCCATTTTGTCTGTCAGTTTTGGTCTGATTTTTACGAAATTCGAATTCAACCATCCTTAGGGTGTAACGCTGATATATTCAAACGGTTTATGAAATCGGATAAAATTTATAACCTCTATAGGGTCCACAAGCAAAAAACGTGATTTTCTGTACAATCAGGGGCCCTAATTCAGGAATTTACAGTCCGATAAGTGCGGATATCGAAAGGAACCGAGATCTTTGGGTTATAAACTTACATTTCAAGTTTCATCAAAATCTGAAGTAAATTGTGACCTCTAGAGAGTCCACAGCCTTGATATATCATTTTTTACGCTATTTGAGTACGAGGGGCGGCCATTTTGTCTGTCAGTTTTGGTCTATCTCAACTTTCCTTAGGGTGTAACGGTGATATACTAAAACATTTTTTTAAATCAGATAAAAATTATAACCTCTATAGGGTCCAAAAGCTAAAAACGCGATTTTTCGTACAATCAGGGGCCATAATTCAGGAAGTTACAATCCGTTATGCTTGAATATCGAAAGGAACCGAGATCTTTGGGTTACAAACTTACATTCAAGTTTCAACAAAATCGGATAAAAATTGTGACCTCTATAGGCTCCACAAGCTAAAAATGTGATTTTTTTCGTACAATCAGGGGCCATAATCCATGAAGTTTCGGTCCGATACATGCGAATATCGAAAGCAACCGAGATCTTTTGGAGATAAACCTATATTTCAAGTTTCGTCAAAATAGGATAAGAGTTGTGACATGTAGAGTGTCCACAAATAATTGTGGACGTCTGGACGGACAGGGGCGACGACAATATACGATACGTCCACATGAAAATGTGGGCGTATAAAAAAACGATCACATCATTTAGAAGGCCAATCTAATTGCAGCAAATTAGACCAATATTATTACTTTATTGGTAAAATCTGACGAGAAATCTCCATGTCATAATATTTTACATGGCTAGAAATATAGTAGTCTATATAGCTCCCCGTGTTAGAATCAATAGGTGGAAAAGAGAAAACACATGCTTGTTTTCAAAGCGAATCAAAGAACAATTTGCAGATATTAAATATAATGGACTGAAACCGGTTTAAATAGGTTTTCATCTTCCAGGACACGCGAGTAGAAATGTTACGATACAAATAATTGGGCGTTTCACGACTGCGACATAAATGATATGTCACACATTGGATAATATTGAATCATTTTAAATCAAAATTGATTCACACCTACAAACTTTCTCAATGGATGGCTATACAAAAAAATTTAGTCACGAAGACTCTAAACCTTCTTTATTTATATCTTTATGTACTGACCCAATTCCAGCCTTTGGATGGTTTGTTTCAAAATGGATCAAGAACCCTACTCCTAACCGTTTTTTAGTTGCATTATTTAAAGTACCAATGACTGCTATCTATTTTATCATCTTATTGACAATTAAAGTTATATGATATTATTTACATTCTATACATTACTGTGTATTTAGAAATTGCCATGAGTTACAACACGCGTGTAGTGGCAATGAGATGTTTGTAGTCATACACTTCCAGGGATTACACTCGATAGACAAATATTTAAGCAAAACTCTTAATGTTTGTATGATTACTGTAACGTAAACATAATCAAAAGGATAACCAATACAAACATAATCAGTTCATGATTTTTGAATGTTCACACTGTTTTCACAATCTTCCCACAAGATTTATTTTACTAAACTATGTATTAAATATTGAATTGAAATTTGATGCATCTTCTAAATATAACAATCAGTTATTTTCAATTTCAGCAAAATTATTATCTTTACCCCCACTCATACATACGCCTTCTATCCCCCCCCCCCCACACCACAACATTTGTTGACATTAACATCAAAAATCCTTACCGAACTAAGAGTTGTCGATTTTAATTCACCTTTAAGAGTTTGGATTTCAAATACTTCAACATTGAACTAAACTTTACAAGGTGTAATCACTGATTCAATTAACTCACAGGCCACCCACATGATTGTGTAAGTTGTAACAGGAAAATAAGTTTCCGATTTAAGCTTTGTGTAACCCATTTTCCAGTCATGCAAAGTTCCTTTGGCATAATCAGTTGGTTGTGTAGTTATACAGGATATCTGTGCATTTTCATAAATACATTGATATGTTATGTTACTCTAACATAACAAAACAATATGGTGTTCTGCCTTTTGATCAATAATATTAATACAGTTGGGTTTATTATAACAAAAAAGACTCAATAACCATGGAAGACTAGTATACTTTTGTCAGAGAGAGAGAGAGAGAAGTGGGGTTTAATGTCCACTGGACACAGACTAGGTTATTTCTGGACTAACACATGGTTTAATCTTATTTCAATAATTCGCTTGCGCGTAGGAGTCTTTAGCAGCGGGAGGAAACCGCAGGACCCTGAGAAAACCCACGAGGTTGGACAGGCAACCCTACTGCTTGTCACGTACAACCAGGGATTTAAAACCACTTTTGTTGTTATTTTTCATATAGGTCACTTGTTTTCTTATATATATATAAATACTCTTCAAAAAAAGTAGGGGATATTGAAATGCAAATACCTATGCAGGTTGTGATATGATAAATAGTCATGGACACTTGACATGCTTTGAGAGTATTTCACAGATGAAGAACTTATCGCCCCAACAGAACCACTGTTGATGAAAACTGCTGCGTGCTGGTTTATCCTATCAATGTTGCTTTCCTATCGGTTCTTGCATAAGATTTACTGTTTAGCATATCTTTGCTTTAGTGTGTTATGTTTAATTTGCAATGAGACGTCTTCAATATGATGAACGTCTACGTGCTATTGGCATGCTTCAAATGGGTTCTACACAGCCAGCAGTAGCCAACAAGCTTAATGTGTTATAGTCTGTGATCAGCAGACTGTGGAACCGGTACCAACAAACACACAATGCTGATGATAGACCAATGAGACGTCTTCAATATGATGAACGTCTACGTGCTATTGACATGCTTCAAATGGGTTCTACACAGCGAGCAGTAGCCAACATGCTTAATGTGTTATAGTCTGTGATCAGCAGACTGTGGAACCGGTACCAACAAACACACAATGCTGATGATAGACCTCTTTCAGGTCGTCCTAGAGCCACTACACAAGCACAGGATCGATACATTCGTACACAGGTCCTGCGTACAAAGAGCGGCCATTTTGTCGGGCAGTTTCATTTCGATTTTCCCGAAATTCGAATTCAACCTTCATTATGGTGAAATGTTTAAACAGTTTTTAAAATCGGAAAAAAAATTTGTGACCTCTAGAGAACCTGCAAGCTAAAAATGCGATTTTTCAAACAATCAGGAGCCATAATCCAGGCAGTTACGTTCGGATATACAAGATTATCAAAAGGAACCAAGATCTTAGTGTGTAATGGTGATATATTCACATGTTTTTTTTAAATCAGATAAATATTGTGACCTCTACAACAAGCTAAAACATGATTTTTCATACAATCGGGGCCATAATTCAGGAAGTTCCCATCTGATATCCCCGAATATCGAAAGGAACCAAGATCTTTGGGTTATAAACATGCATTTCAAGTTTCATCAAAATCAGATCAAAATTGTGACCTCCAGAGGGTCCACAACTTTGATATACCAGATGTTTACACTAATTATGTATGAGGGGCGGCCATTTGGTCTGGCAGTTTTGGTCCGATTTTCACGAAATTCGAACTCAACCAAAATTACGGTGTAACAGTGATATGTTTGAACGTTTTTTTTAAATCGGATAATATATTGTGACATCTAGAGGGAACTCAAGCTAAAAACGAGATTTTTCGTACAATCAGGGGCCATAATTCAGGACGCTATTATCCGATATGTGCGAATATCGAAAGGAACCAAGATCTTCGGGTTATAAATTTACATTTCAGTTTTCATGAAAATCAGAAGAAAATTGTGACCTCTAGAGGGTCCACAACCTTGTTATACCATATTTTTACGCTATTTGAGAACAAGGGGCGGCCATTTTGTCTGTCAGTTTTAGGCCGATTATCACAAAATTCGAACTCAACCTTTCTTAGGGAGTAACAGTGATATACTAAACTGTTTTTTTAAATCGGATAAAAATTATGACCTCTATAGGGTCCACAAGCTAAAAACGTAATTTTTCGTACAATCAGGGGCCATAATTCAGGAAGTTACGGTCCGATATACGGAACCAAGATTTTTGGGTTATACACTTACTTTTCAAGTTTCAACAAAATTGTGACCTCTATAGGGTCCACAAGCTAAAAACGCGATTTTTCATACAATCAGGGGCCATAATCCATGTAGTTACGATCCGATACATGCCAATATCTAAAGGAACCGAGATCCTAGGGAGATAAACCTATATTTCAAGTTCCGTTTTTATCGGATAAAAAATTGTGACCTGTAGAGTGTCCACAAACAATTGTGGAAGGAGGGATGTCCGGACGGACAGGGGCGACGACAATATACATCCACATGAAAATGTTCGCATATAAAAACAATAGGATCCTTCTCATGAACTATTAACACAGTGATAACTTTTGCCTATAGACCTTCCACAAGATTTTTCAAATTTATCAAGGGCCATAACCCCAACATCTGAAATTGCTGAAATGAATAGACTTCATCATCTCATGAACATAACCACTAATAAATTCAAATACAATCAGATAAAAACATTAAATTGTAGAATGTCCACAGCCGATATATACAGTTGGACAGACTGGGGTGACAACAATATATGATGACATTTTGATGCATAAAACATAAAGGTGCATAAATAGTGGTCTATTTCCTTCACAGTTTTAATACAAAGTGGTCGAAATTGATCACCTTAGTAACAATGATGTATTTAATGGTGTAATGAATGTGTCATAGACAGAAGTATTACCTCGTAGCTTCAACAGCTCGATCACGTTCCTTGGTTAATCTCTTTTCTTTATCTTCCCATGATTGTTTCATCTGTCCAACCTGTTGTTCTAAACTACTGATCAGATTTGATTTTTCTTTCCATTTATTATTTAGAACACTGAAAAATCATCCCCAGAACATGTATAATGGAAGTTTATTTGAATTGTGCGTTTGTTTATGATTTCTGCGTATTATGTCATGTCCGTATATTTTTTTTTTTTTTTTTTTTTTTGTGCAAATTATGTGTGGTGCAGTCCCAGTGCACTTACTATTTAATAGAGCTCAATGATTTATAGTTTACAAACTATAGCGTTTTCAACTTCTTGATATTCTAGTTATATATGTAAATGTAATTAGATTACCGGTATTTTGTAATAATTTCCTAGTGTCAAACTAGTTATCACTAATATTTAGAACCACTTTAGTCAAAGTATAACTTTTACCTATGAGCATTTTGGGATTCATCTAATTGGATTTTCAAGTCTTCTATTTGTTGTTTCAACTCAGTCTTTCGTTCTTGCAATCTTTCAACCATTTCCTGTAATATTATAAAAATAGAGCTAAAACCAAACAAAGAAAAAATAATTAGTCTACAAACAGCGCAAGTTACGTTCACACCAAACTTATGTACATCTGTTGAAATTCAACAGAAACACACTTCCATCTCTTAACATCAAGAACTTTAAACATATATGAACATACTGTTCTTGGTGATCTTGTCAAGTTGAATTCGCATGTTTATGAGGAAAATTAAATACTTTGAAAAAGATTTTCCTGTTTTAATTTTGCTTAAAATATGCAAGGTTTTGAGATTAACAGACCTTAGATGAAATTAATGATCTAGATCCAAATTTTATGAAAATTGGTCAAGAATTCAACTCTATAAACTAAAAACAACCTTTTTTAGCCAAATACTATTTCTAAAACTTGCATGAAAATCTGTGACAAAATTAACTCTGTAGAATGAGTAGTATGGTAATGAACATTTATTAATAATCATAGCAGTCTAGTGCTATAACTCTAAAACTACCTTTGCAAAAATGTAAAAAGGGACCATCTTTAACCCAAAAATAAATATCCCTGAAAAATGGTTTCCCTACTAGTACTATAACAATTGATGAACATTTTTCGGGAAACAAGTTGAATAAAAAAAACCTCAGTAGATTAAGAGTTATCAACAATCGAAGACCAGGGATCATAAATCTATGAATATGAAAAAAAAAGTACAACAGTTACATTGTGGTTCTATGCTTTGATCTAAAACAACACTGGATATGATCAGTATTGAATTGGAAAAGAGCATCAACATGTCCCTTTTTAAGAGATAAATCTTTCTCAAACACATTTATTTTTCTTTTGATTATTATTCTTAGTTTTGACTCATCTAACATATATAGGCCAAACGGGTATTTAGGATAATGTTGCTAATGTTATCAGTACTACAGTAGCAATTTTAACATCAGAGTTGTATTGAACAAACTCTTAAGAAATTTATTGCATTTTTTTTTAAAAAATATAACTGGTAAGTTCTGTCCCAAAAATCAGGGAAGTTTTGGGAGTAGGCACAGTCTATGTGGTTATTTAATCTCCCACAACCCTTTAAGCTCAGGTAGGTTGTGTTCATGATCATGAGCCAGCCTGTTAAATTTTTTTTTTTACTCAGTAATCTAGTGACCTGGTGGAAGCAACAAAGGGGATATCATTATATGCTATATGTATTGATACTACATATGAAGTGTTTTTCCTTGCTCAATCGGATTTGTCCTCTTGTATTTTTGTATGGTTGTCCTTCAAGTGGTGACTAAGAATAGGTTGACTTTCTGTAGTTCATCATCACTGTCTAGTGACCTTTTTCAAGATAGCAAATATGATTTCTTTTTACTGTATATAGATTTATATATATATGGCAAACATTCAGATCAAATCATAACTATTTGAATTTCTCAGTGAGAGTGATCACAAGAAATTATGGACAATGGACTAACAGACAAGGGTGATGACAATGTACCACCACATTTCCATGTGGGAGTATATAAACCTAATAAAAATAATGAAGAGTCACTACTCATCTTAGAGAGACAATGATAGAGAGTAAAAAGCCAAATAAATTAATATGGAAACCATACTCCTCAGACATCTTTTGTAGAGGTGTTTTTCTAAACAAGGCTGGCCTTAAAGACATTTCTATTTCACCTAAACCATCCGACTAGCTAAAACCGCCCCTGACTTAAATTATTTTATTGCACTTTTCTGTGATCTTTTGTCAACTTGAAATATATCAAGAAAGTTATTACCCTTTACTATGGCTATGGTTTGATTCATTATTGGAACTGGTTAATCCAGACGAAAGCGTCATAGATGCTGCAACTCAATATCCATTTTCGAGTAAAATGAAGGCACAATCCACACGATTGTTAAAAATGTGTTGAAGGAAATTCATACTTCAATTTCGTCACAAATCATGTTTGAGTCATATCTTACTAAAAAATTAAACCCCGATGTTATCAGTATTGATTTATGTGCCCACATGTAAAGAAGCTCTTCGAATTTGACCTTTTTTAAAAAAAAAAAAACCTTTAAGAAAAAAAAACGACCTACAGACTCTTCTCATTGATTGTGGATCGAGTTTAGTGAAATAAAGATATTTTACGGTCAGCCTAAAAAGAAGGTACAGGTAGGCCCTGGTCAAATAAACTAAAAATTAAAAGTCAAGTGTGTGGCGTACCATCACACTCCTTGCGAAGGCCTTAGACACAAACAACACTCCTGGGCAGTCTTCTGTAGTTCCCCCCCAATATTTGTTTTTGAAAAAACAATGCCATTTATTATTAGCAAATTGGGTTCATCAAATGAAGAGGGATTGTCAGCATGGAATACATTCAATACACAAGCAGAATGTGCAAATGACCACCAAGAATAATTTCACAAAGATTTCTAAATTGTATTACATATATGTATGTATCAAAAGGACTATTATATTTAGACAGCCAAATTGAATAGTTTTGAGTTGGAAAATGATTTTTTCTTCAGATTTATCCAGAATATGTCTGTATCAGATAGGAATTTTCTAATATGAGAAATGATGATTTTGAAGGATATAACAATAGGAATCTGAAACAAGTAAATGCTATGGAGTCTGGTATAGAGTCTGATCTTTAAGAAAGAACAACAATGTTGTTATTTAATATCTCAACATAGCCACATGGAATCTGAATTCAGATTATTAAAAAGTTTAATCCATACAGTAAAACTGTTTATATTAATTAGTTGCCGGAATATTCCTGTCTGAAATGCTCTTTTGAAATGAGACAACTCCCATAAAACAATTAACGTTACATGATGGTAATTCCTTTACCAGAAGCAGACATGAATTACAAAGGAAATATCTATAAATGTCAAGAAATCTTCTTTAAAATAATAATAATAATGTATATTTAAAATAAGCTCAATAATCTATCCATATACGCATACTCAAAGTGCTACATTTAAGGAGTCTCTCATCAATTAAAACACACATGAAACAATCCATTTCTAATCTGGATAAGAGAATCTAAACAAATGAGCTTTTACTTCTGACTTACAAATTGTGAAAACTGGAGATTCTCTTATGTTTACTGGCAACCCATTCCAAAGGCGAGGAGGAGTAGCACTTAAACTGTTATCACCAAATAGTTTAGTTTTGTTTTAGGAACAGCAAGTATATTTTTGTTATTGAGGTTTATACTTATAGTTTGTCAAAAGTTCAGACAAATATAAGGGGGTAAGATCATTTTGACATTGATACTTTGTGAAATAGCTTTATTTAATGTCTGTTTCCACTGCAGTGATATTAATACTAATGGCAGAACTGGATCTGGGGTTCAACAGGCAACCAGTGAAGAGACTTTAACACCATTGTTATATGTTTTGAAGTTCTTGTTACAGTCCTGGCAGCAAAGTTCTCGATTCTTGTTTGCATAATTAATATGGGACAGTATTAGTGCTTGAACTAATGTTGTGATGAGGTGGCGAATGTCTCTGATGCAACGCATATACGCATATGATAGAAAAATATATGGCACAATTCATCAACGTGTGTTTCCATAGTAAGTGTTGTCTCAAGGAAAACATGAAGGGTTTTAAAGCTGACAGAGAAGTCAACCACTGGATTCTTTTCTGTTATTTTCCATAGTTTAAAATATTAGAGGTTCAAATTAACATAGCTTTGGTTTTTTCATCATTCAATTTTCGACTGTTGTATGTCATCCAGGACTTAATGGACTGTGAACATACTGCCGTACAATTTAAGGATTCTTTAATTTGAGTGTGGTTGAAAATGTCAAACTAGCCTTCAATGTAATTCCTTATCGAAAAGGAAGGTAAATAATTATTGTCTGGGGTCTCAATCTTCTAAGTTAAAGCCACTGATCATCATTTGCAGTTTTCAGTAATATCTAACTTTTCACAGCTTATCCACATTAAAATGTACTCAAAATATCACCAATATATAATTTCCTGGCTTGGATTAGGCCAGATAAAAACAGACCCATCAAATACTTTTCGCAACGACTTTAGGTGAAGCTGGCTGGCTTTGACCCTTTTCCTGTTTATAAAGTAAGTATGTAAATGAAAGGATGCCAAATAATGACAAATTTTCAATTCATTATATATCACTGTAAATTCTTGAACTATTTTTGGACTGATATTTCATTTAGAGATACAACTTTCACAATATTGTAGTTTGCAAATGCTTATAACTGTCCCTTACAATTAAATAAATCAGAGACATTATATTACCTAGTTTGAAGTGGATGGAACGTTTAAATACTTAAAACTGGAAACTATATTTATCATTATCATACAGAATGTTACTTGGTAATACTTGTATGTGGTTATATCCATATATACCTTGAGTTTTTTGTTGTGAATGTTTAAAATTTACAGTAGAAACCCATATACAACACAAGGTAGCTAAATGAAATGAAATGGCGTTTAACGTCCTACTGTTCTGCTCCGACTAGGCTAATGAAGACGGGCATATGCCATACAGTATGCTATGAGGGAAATTTTGCTCAGGCAGCGGCACTATGTCCTACTCGAATTCCAACTGCCAAGGGATCTTTTTACGTGCACGCCAATGTATACATGGTACCTCAGTTTTCCGTCCCATTCAAATGACTAGACAGCTGTCCTTGTCAGGCCCTCCGTTCTGCACCACTGACAAAGGGAAACCAGGGCTCGAACACGCCCTCAGATCTATAAGGGTCGAGTGTTATTTATGGGAATATAAATGTGATTGTGGCCAATTATCCCTTGTCTATAAAGTGTGCAATTCTGTTTGTACTTTTTCAGGATTATTAAAATTACAGTTAAATCTGCAAATTGGATGGTGAACTGAATGAAGCTGCATTCGCCATGTGGCTGCAGGATTCAGTTGTTGTATTTGTGTCATGTACAGGGGAGTATCAATTTTGGGGATTAGAAACAGGGTGTGCATTACATAATGGATTTTTACGGAACTTATAGTTATCATTTAGAGGATTTAAATACAGTAGAATC